TTTATTGGCATCGTTGTAACACGCTCTCCCCTTATTATTTTTTGTCTGTCAATTTTTTATTCTCTTCCTAAAATTTGTGGTTTATATTTGTGTACGTATCACTAGCGTGTAATTTATATACTTTTCACGATATTTACTCTGATATTCCTGGATTCGGAGTGTGAACGTTGACCATTAAGTTAAAGGTTTGGTTGGCCGAGGTGTTTCAGAGGTAACCTCGCGATCGGTGTAAATAATCCGCGCTTGCGTGTGAGTTCGAGTCTAGAGGCGTGTGAGTTCGAGTCTAGAGAAAAATACATGTAACATTTTTGCGTGAGGGTCCGGGTTGGATTCAAGATTAAAACAGCGGATCACATGAGGTCTTAATGACTTAGATTTGACCCTTATAATAGGTCTAGCCTAGAATTTATTCAGTTGGACCGCTCCCAATTTTAGTTGGTAAGCTGGTTTAGACCAATGACTCGGACTAGACAAAATCCAAGTTGGGTTTAAGTCCAAGTAGGATCCAATTGTCAGGTCCTGATTGGGGTCGACTTAAACTCAACCCAACCCATTAACGCCCCCATGTTAGATGATGGTTAATTATCAACAATTGCAATGGTGTTTTACATTATCTAAAATAAGGACCTATTTAAGTAAGGGTGTGGTTTGTATAAGATTAAGGCTCTAAACAATCAAAGTAGGGCACACCTTCAAATAGTTTAGTAATATATTATTTTAGTATCAGAACTTTTTATGATTGTTTGGAAATTTATTTTTATCTCCAATTATAAAATTGAAAGATTTAAAAATAATGTAGATTTATGAATGCTTAGAAATCTTGAAAATTGATGGTCTAGATACTTCATTACAAGATGCACTATTTATAAGACTTGAAATCTATTTTTTCTTATGTCCATACATCTTGAAGTCCAGGATCAAACTAAAGTTTTTTAACATCGAAACAACCTCTTCTATTGAATTTTTGAGGTGTGCCTTAATTTGATTGTTTAGAGCCCCACCCTTATATAAACTTTTTCCTTTAAGTAAAAGATATTTCTACTAAATAGATGAAAAATTTATTATTTGAAAACAAATTTTCTTTATTCATGACCATCTCTCAATCCTACAAACCTCATGTCCGCTCTCTTTCCCATGAATCCTGCAAACCCCATGTCCTGTCTCTCTCACCCACGAATCCTGGAATATCTCTGTCATTTGAATTTTTAAGAAATGTTTTTCCAGAATGCCAAATAGACTTAAAGGGAATAAAAACCCCAGAACTAAAGGGAAGAAAATTCTTTCAAAAGAGGAAAGATGTCCTTAAAGGAAGAAATGGACTTCTCTATTTCAAAGAAGGGAAAAGAGGAGAGCAAATCATTTGTTCGTTTGGTTATTTATTTACTTATAGAACAAACCTTACTTATATATTTTGGACCCGGTTTTTATGTGGCCAAGCCTGCATATGTAGAAATGCGAGTCATTTAATAAATCTATTTTTTAGATGGATTTTAAGACCTGATTTTTAAGGACATGTAATCTCTATCTTGTAGATCATGAATATGAATAAATAAATAAATTTTAAAAATATTTTTAGTAAAAAGACATTTGGATCATCGGTTTCTATTGTTTTTAGATGAAACACCTACTTGTATTCATTTTTAAAATGGATACTTTACACTTTCTTGACCCATATCTAGAAATGCGGTCCAGCCCAACAATTTTCTTTTTATTTTTCAATTAAATCTCTCAAATAAAAATGAGGATGGCTTTCACCCCTCTCGTAAAAATGAGGATGCTTTTACATCTCTCTCTGAAAAAAAACAATGAGGGATTCAGAATGCGGATGACTTTTACACATCGTTGTCTCTCTGGCACTTAAAAATTTGGGGATCTTACTTCTCTCTCCGTGAAAACATGTGAACCAAAATACGGCCTTGATGCAAACGTGTCACGATTCTAACGAGCAAAATTCCCCTAAAAAGAACAATTGACATTTTTTTCTGCCTTTCCTTAGTTTGGGTTCCCGACAGTTTTTTAAAACTTGGATCCGTAGGACGGATCATTCGCCTACATATTTGTGTTAGATCGTTGGTTCAACGATCTATAGGTTGGATGCGGTTTAGTGTAAAATGATGATTCAAAAAAAATTATAAATAAAATCTTCATCATAATCATTATCATAAACATTTTTCTAACTAAATAAGGTCGGCTACATGAATCTTGATCTGCCATTGTGCTATGTTAAAGGTCATACCTGCAGTAAGTCCATAAAATCCCCATATATTTTATCACTACTTCCAACTATTTTCTTTTGGGCTTGCTCCTTAGACAAACTAAAAACGAGGGGTTTTTTAGGAGGGAACTGGGTCGAGATCCATACCAAGATCTAAGTATTTCGGTTATGACAGATTCTATCCATATCATCAATGTAGATAAAAAATCACTAGG